ATCCACGATCAGTCCGCGAGTCACGTTCGGGACTCCTGTCCAGTACACCGTTGGTGTCAACCAACTTGGACATTCCAATGTCTAGCACGTTGATCGTCTCGGCCCAGTGCTCTCGCCAATAGCGCTTTTGTCTCCTAACAGAACTGGGTTCATGACTCGCTAAAGCTCCATTAGGAGTCATGCGCGTAGCGCTCAAGGTCTTTGACCTCCAATCAATCCATAGTTCATGGTGTTCCATCCATGCCATTCCTAGGATGAGGCCATACCTTGCATCCAACTCTATGACTAGACAGCGTTCCACGCTATCAAAGTCAAGCCCATCTGGTGTGACACACACCCATTTTACCAGGGTACGTGTAAGCCCGTTACATATGCTGTCTACATGTACTATACAGCGTGAGGCAAGCATCCCACGTATATACTGAAATCTCTTAAGGTAATGACATTAATCTCATCAATACGAGTATGTCAGTTCTTCAGCGGTGTAATTTATTCGTACATAACATAATATGTACCCCGTTACACGTAGATCAAACACGGTAATCTCCTTAATGCGAAAAGGCCATTAATGCTCTTTTTTCAGGTCAACATTAGTGGTCACTGACTTGTACGAGTTTAAACTGCACGATTGTATTGGTTGCAGGACCAATGATACGTCAATATGAAATTATATGCAGTCTTCCTGAGCTGAACTGCCGCTTAGAGGAAATTTGTATACACCTCAGAACATTTTACGGATGTTAACTGGTGAATAGTCCTCTGGCCTTATTATTATTTTTCACAGAAAATATAATGCATAATATTTTCTCGTCTTTGTGTAACTGCTTCGTTTTTACCGTGAAAATGGTATTTTTCTCTCTTTTTTTTCTCGACGCCAGCTTTTGCAATTTATTACTTGTTCTTTTAGCTAGAGGTGTTTATTACAAACACGCTCAGTTATGTGCTAGACTGTAACCTTGAAGAGTCTTCTTGCCGGTTGTGAGCGTCAATCACTCGCTGAAATGAACAATAAGTAGAAAAGTGGCGGTGCAATTATAACAGGTGCGATTGTTGAATACTTGTCAACGGTTGGTGTTCATCTAGCCTTTGTAGGTTATATGTCGTTCGCGAAAATTGTAACTTTGTAGTGATGCTAGTTACGTAAGAATACTCCAAATAGCCACAGCGCTATCGATAGCCGTAGTCTAGTCGATATAGCGACCAGCACAAGCAGACGCCTTTTAGCTCGATTAAAGTATACATTTGCTCAAGCGTCCGTTTTCTGGCTATAGAAGTACAGGCACTAACTTCGTTTATGTATGTATGATCTTGGTTGCATTCTACCTTTCATTGTCTTCAAATGGAGTCAGTTAAAGTACTTTTGAAAATATCATTCCTACGAATATAAAAGTCGAGATTCAAGCTGTATACACACAGTTTTTTGGCAGCCCCCATCGTGTACCGCAGTCATACGACACGGCGCTCGCAGCCGAAGAGACCAAAGGGCTAGAGTCCGGCCTTCTTGTAGCTTAAGCTAGTGTTACGTTGCTGGCATAGAGATTTGACAGCTTCAGGAATCGGTAAAAGGTAATTACAAGATGGCACAACGTGGGGATAAAAGTACCAAGAACGAAAAGAGCGGCTTCTTTCGCAAAATGTATACGTCGATTGGCACTTCATCGCGACAATTGGCAGCCAATCGCCACGAAAAAACACCCCGGCGTGATAGTACAAGCAGTGGAAATAGCAGTGGATACAATCAATATAGTCCTAGTGATGGCACCATGACAAATAGTGGGCACAATGGGGGTGGTAGTCATTCAAACCATGGTAAGCACCACAGCTTTCATACGCATATGCCATTTTCTCGCGACGAAGCACGTAATAACACGAATGAAGCGCATCAAAGTATCCTGTCCAAGCGTCCGAGTCTTATTGTACCATTCACAAATCAACAGCAGCTTACCAATGGTGCACCAGCTAATCCAACGGAAGGCGTCCAAAATTATCTTGATGACTTTCAGGCTCCTATTTCCAAGTCAGGCGTGCTAATTAAACAAGCTAACCACTTTAAAACGTGGAAAAAGCGTCTTATGGTGCTTAAAGGACACTCTTTGTTTTACTACGTGTCTGGCACGGTAAGTTTGGCGTTTATTTTGAAAACATTTCTCCAACTTGTCTTTTTGACTCTTTGAATTCCATATGTACAGTCAGGTGAAGATTCATATCCGCGAGGAGTGATTCCACTGCAGGGCGTGCGAATCACACCGATCGACTCTGCGCGCTTTAAGCGTCAGAATTGCTTTGAGATTTGTCATCCGGTACAATTATATGGCATACGTGCTGCAAATAATTTTGTGATTACCTTTTTAGAATGCTGACGAAAGTTGTGGTACGAACAGGGATATCGTCCTATTTACCTGATGGCTAAAAGTGAGGCGGATTTAAGTGTCTGGATGAGCAGTTTAACATCAGCTGCGATGCCTACAACAGCTGATCGCAAGATGCTTCTTGTTACGGAGCCGCTGGAATCGCTCTTTAATACCCCAGCTTTGGAAGATGCTGTACCATATAAACGGACGTATTATTTTCGACAGAAAGTAGCATTTTGTATGCCGCGAAAAGAGGATGCAGGGTATACAGCGGGTGAACTCTTTGATCTAAACGAAAAGCGCTTGACAACGCTTTGTGATCTCAATAGCTACTGCGATTCGTTTCCAATGATCTTGGACGATCCGCAGCTTTTTGTGGAATTGCTACATGTTGTAGGTTGCTATATCTTTCGTCCGTTTGCTCGTCGACAGTCGACGTCGCCTGGCAATATTTTTGTTGAAGAGCCGAGCCCCGAAGAGGTGAATATGCTTGAGAACCCGATGGATAAATACTCCGAATATACGACTGAAGAACAGATGTGGGGACTACTTTCGGCCTGTTACGATCTACTGCTGAAAGCAATTGAACATATTGACAAATTAGAAAAGCATGTGCGGAAAGAATTTTTTCCTTTACGGTTCATCGCACAGCTCGTGAATTTGTTCAAGTCACCGTCCTTCAAAGAACGACAGGTTTTAAAAGGAGTGCTTCATCGACTGTACTATAAACTCACGCAGCGACGGTCAGCAATTCGAAAGGAAATTGCCAACACATTCTACGAGTATATTTATGAGACATCGAACCACTACGGCGTGGCAGAGCTGCTTGAGATATTAGGAAGTATTGTCAATGGCTTTGCATGTCCAATTAAGCACGAACACGTGGTTCTCTTGGAGAAGGCTTTGATTCCATTACACTCTACGCCCGCTTTCATTTCGTACCATCAGCAACTCGCGTATTGCATGATTCAGTACGTGTCTAAGGACCACACGCTCTTTACTTCAATTATTCGTGGTTTGATCAAGTACTGGCCGGTGGGTAACTCATTTAAGGAAGTCGTCTTCATCGTGGAGTTTGAGGAAATGCTCGAGCACGTGCTGGCCGAGACGGATTTTGACTTGATTTCACCAAAATTGGCGCGGAGATTGGGAAAATGTATGATGAGTGATCAATTTCAGGTAGCAGAGCGTGCGATTTTGTGCTGGGGCTCCCCGGCATGCTTGCGCATCATGAATGAGTACGAAAATCTGGGTCAAGGCATGTTTAATGTGATTAAGCCGTTCTTACAAGGAGCGGTAACAGGACATTGGAATACGCTTATTCAACAGAAAGCCCAGGAAACGTATATTTTGTACTACAATATGGGGTACGATAGTGCTGATGTTGCAACGACGCTGTCGCCATTAGTATCGGATGAAAAGGGATTGGATAGCAGTGCTAAGACGGAGGAATCCGACCAAGACGAAGAGATTACTTCTAACGAGGCAAATCTGTCGATGTCTGTTCGACTCTCAGCATCAAATGCAGTAGAACCATTAGATGTAGTGCTGTCCGACGAAGAGGACGAAGATGAAACGTCAAAAGGATTCTAAGAGTGTCAAGGACGATGTCTCGCGATAGAATTACTCACTATGGTAGAAGTATTCAAGCTGAGCACGTTTCGCAGCGTCAGTCGACGCACTCGTGATTGTCTGGTAGCAGTTACAGTATATATACAGAACAAAGGAAGTGAAATCAAGCGGCGGATGAAGACGCGACGAAGTTTACGGAGGAAGAGAGATGAGTATGAAGTTTTGACTATTATTTGTATCTACACACTAAAGTGTCAACGTCAAAAGCCAACGATGGAGGCAGCTCGTTGTTTGGACAACGGTCTATATCTTCTCTTTGCCATGTCAATAAAAAGCTTCTCATTCGTTTATTGTCTCTACTCTTTACATTGTCGAATTGAACGCCCAACAGCCTGACATGGTGTCAAGTCTAATGCTATTTCTAATGCTAAACTCAGTAGCCTTAGCAGAAGAAAAGCCTAAAGCCAAGTCTCTCAAACTCTTGACAGATCGCACTTGGTTCAGCCAAGTTGTTAATGTCCCTCGTCGAGTGACCGACGATGCCTTGGCCTGTGTGGTTGTGAGCGAGCCTTTATCTCCCGGTCTGGCCGTCGAGGGCTACGAATTGGTCGAACGTTCTGGTCTTCTGGGTGTATGTAAACATCAGCAGACAAGAGAGACGGAGTGGACCGTACAGACAAGAGAAAGAAAGGAGATCGTGCCTTGGACCACGACGTCAAGTGAACAACACACTATACAACAAACGCATTCAACCCAAGTGTGTCCGCTGCCTGGATCAACTTTAGCGGCTCGACCTTCGGCAATATCTCCTCTACCTTTACCAAAATCAGTAGAGACTGATGCAGCGTTTAAGATACATAATAAGAGTCCCGAAGGCCCTGTGCTCGAGTATTACTACGAGACGGAAGAGGAGAGTCGAATTTACGTCAATGCTCAATATCGATTAAAAAAACGCTTTGACGCTGGGTCTCATGGAGAAGTGTGGAAAGCAACACGAAAACAAGCGGAAAAAGAAGAGCACTTTGTACTTAAGAGGCTCTTTCTCGAGCTAGGAGAGAGCATGGCGCAGATGGGACTACGGGAAGCACACTTTGGAGCAGTATTACAAGGCGAACCTCACGTAACGCGATTTGTCGAACATTTTTTTCGACCGAACCATGTGATCAAGGGAAAAGATAATGTGTCGCAGCCTCAGTCAACACCTGAACTGTGGCTCGTATTTTACGATGAAGGAAAATCCCTACGGCAATATCTGTACAAAAAAGTTGACGTGTTCTATCATGCCGATGGAACTGGCCATGGCGGTGCTGGCGTTGTGTTGCAGCCATCACAGTTTTGGGAAAAGCTACGAACTGATGCGCGGGGCGAAAGTGTCTTACGAGAAATCATGCGGCAATTGCTACAAGGAGTGTCAAGTCTACATGCACGAGGTATAACTCACCGTGATATCAAGCCATCAAACATTTTGGTCTCGATTCCACCTTCTTCAAAAACCTCTGCAGTCGTTCCAACGCCACTTGTGAAATTAGCAGATTTCGGTTCTGCTGTGGATGAATTTACGCTTAAGAAATTGTATGCAGCTCGTGCCGGATCATCGGCAAACACCGGACCGTCCCAAGCTGAAGAAACGCGCGAGTATCAGCCTCCTGAAGTATTATTTAGTGAAAATGGCCAGCCTTACGATTATATAGTCCCCGAAGCGTACGATTTATGGTCGGTTGGTGTCGTCTTTTTAGAAATGGTGCTAGGATCGCCACAAGTTTTTTTGATCTCACCTCGTGAAAGAGCCAAAGTGGATGCAGTGCTTGATACTCAGCAGCGACTTCAACGTGAAAAACAAAGCGATGACAAGTCAGGATTGCGAACTAAAGCTTATTTACTACACGTTCTTACGAAAGAATTTTGCATCTTTCAGCCAGGATCGCGACAACTACGGTCCTTGTATGACAAGTATGCACTTGTGACCGAGAGCTGCCATTTTGGACGATTTAATCAAACTGTAGTGCAACGGGATCCTTTAAAAAGGGGACTTGAGGATATTTGGGGTCTTGACTTGATATGGCGTTTACTTCAATGGCATCCGTCCGAGCGCATTTCAGCTAAACATGCTTTGCAACACGCATTCTTTCGAGGACCATACGTGTGCAAAGAATCAGGTCGTAAATTTGCAACGAAAGACGATTTGTTACTACATGAACAATATCTTGAAGCACAAAAAGCACGAGAAAATATCTTTGCATCTGTGGTTCGAGCCAGGTACGAAACTCCAGACCAATTTGTTTGTCCACACTGTGGTCGAGTGTTTTCTACCGCCCAAAGCTGTGAACAGCACGCTCACGCACGTCGACACAACATGCATTCAAATTTTTGCAATTTGAAGGCCCCACACCTTTCCGCTGCAATTCGCAATGAATCAAAACCTTTACACATTCATAGCTCCGATTCGCGAGTGGGTACTGCCATGTTTCAAGGCCGTAGAAAATACATGGAAGACTTCGTTTTGGTACTTACTGAAGAGCAATTATTACAGAATCAAGAAGATTCTAAAGCACTTGGATTTGACCTTTATGCAGTTGTGGATGGACATTTGGGATTAGCAGCAGCTACTTACGTCGTGAAGAACCTCCCTCTTATACTGTGTCGGCATTTCGCAGGTCTCTCAACACTGAAGAATGAAATATCTTCAGGTCATTCAAAGTTACCTGACACGACAGGTAATGTCTCCGCGGAGCATGAATTGTCCGAAAAGTTTGCACTACGTCAAACTTTTCTAGAGTTGCATGAAGGTTTTCTCTGGTCTCTCGATGACATGAAAAGTAATAGCAATAACTCAACCAACGACACAGCAGTTGGTGAGTATTTCTCTGGGTGCACCCTGACCGTCGTGCTTTATTTTCATAAGGAAAAACGGATTGTGAGCGCCAATGTTGGCGACTCGCGTGCAGTAGCATGGTTACCCGCTAGACCACACGATCGGCATAATTTTGCTGCTAACGACATTGTGCCTTTGAGTATGGATCACTGTCCAAACAACCAAGACGAGCGCTCTCGTATCGAATCCAGTGGCGGCTTTGTGAGTTTCTCTGGTCTTTG